TCATGATTCTGAAATTATATAGCAGTTTTGGCGCACTTGTCAGAGCAGAAGACATTCCCACTTTTCCTCCATGACTATTTGATGGTGAAGCCATAAAGCTGACCAGACGTAAGATCGAAAATTTGAAAGTACGAAACGTAAGAATAGTTGGCACTGCTACTCATACCTAAGCAATTCGCAGCTTGTAGGAAACCAGCTTTGAGTTGGCAAGACTGCAAATTTTGATTTAGACTTTAGAGGCAAGGATGCTTGAAAAGGTGATCGATCTTAGGTGTCCTAGGATAAGTTTGGAAACGGGATGCACCATTCGATGTGTTTTGGGCTTTGCCAAGTTTCGCGGCGTTACGTGCCTCGTTTTTTTTTTTTGCATACACGATCAGTATCTACTTTTGGGATTTTCGGTCAGGCAAGGTCCCCGTCCCCCCCTATCGAAAACCCGTGGCGCCGCCCCTGGATGTGTTTGATGTTGCAGTTAACGTGTTTGCCCATTGGTTATAACATCATGCATTTGGGAGAAATGTGTCATGATTGTCCTTTTTCTTCATCCAATGTCATTTAGCAAATCAAATTTGAGTTAAGAAGGTTTGTAAAAAATGTTTAAATTTTTATGACAGTATAGTTGACTTTCATAATACCGACAAAATACCAAATGCTTTTGGTATAAAATACCGAATACCGAATCGGTATCGGTTCGGTATTGGCATACCGAAATTTTGGTAACCGATTGACACCACTAGCTGGGCGACACTGGGGCGCCATCAGAGGCGGCACTGTAACCGCGCCGGACGCACGGCGCGCCGCACCGCTCGTCTAAAGGGTCGGGCGACACCGTGCACATTGCGCAATGCACAGTGCACACACAGATATAGCGTACTTATGACGCGTCGGCTTAGTGCCGGTCATTTGGGGTCGGAGGTCGGAGGTCCGGTGCACTCACGGTCCGGTGTAAATTCTTGTACCAGAACGATTTCTCCAGATTTGTAAACTGTTGTTGGTGTGAACTGACTCCCGTTTATGTTGCAGAAAACAGAGGAACGGCCTCTTCCCTGCCAGCGCCTGTGTTAAACTCTCAGGATTTTACAGTAAGTAGGTATCGGCTTACATTTTTTGTTTTTGTTTTTAAGGAAAAAATGTTTTCCGAACTTCCTCTGATCAGTGTACAGGGACAGACTTCCTCACTCCTCAGCGGCTGTCCAGTGTCTATTCCTGCGTCCATCGTTGGACCGATGCACATAAATGGTTGCATTCATTCGACCATTCTGCACTTACTACCAGAGGGAGACGGGCGGCCGCTCTGACGTAAGGAAACAAAGGAACTTTCTGCCCAGATGCGATGATATTGGTGATTTCTACAGACGTTTATGGCGAGACTCGTCTATTAGATCGACCATTAGATTGGCCATGAGGCTCGCGCAACGCACACGGTCATTGCTATTTCCGCTAAGGCCACAGTGATGTATCGTGCCAGGTCGACTCCATTTTTATTTCTTGTTGGTCAAGTTTGTTCCAGTGCTGCCAATTTCACTCTGAAAGTGTTAATATGATAGCCCTGTAGAATGTAGATAACTATCTACCGACTGATTATTGGCACTGGTGCGGGCGAGGCGTCAATTTGATACGACCCCTTTCAATCAGAGAGATAGGTGTTGACTGTTCAGTCAGGTGGCAACTATGGCCGCCGCCGTGGGGGACGGTATCGTATGACCGGTGGTGGGCGGGGAGGGGGGGGGGCCTCCCCTCCGGCGGTGAGTGGGACAGGGCGGGCCGGGGTCACGCCCATTAATCAGGCTCGGATCGCGAACACCGACCCCGCGGCGCCGCCCCAGCTAACGATGGCGCTGGTACCGGGATGCCCGTCAACTTGCAGACACAATGGGATGGCGAGGGCAGACTCCACCCGCTAAGTGCTGATGTGCTATCGGTACGTGCCGTTGAGTCTTGTTCAGTTTCCTCATGGATGTGTTGGTACGCTACGAATTCCCCTACTGTAATTTAGAGAACCATTTTCAGTTTCAGTAAATAAGCGACCCTTCTTCGGGTCACCACTCCTCACTAACCACACTGACCGTTCCACACTGACCGTTCCACAATGACCATACTGACGTTCCTCACTGACCTTTCCGCAGGCGATGACGGGACCAGTATGATCATTAGGGACTGCGCCGTGGACAGCGCCACGCTGACCATCGATACGGAGCTGACACGGATGTCGCACTGCGGCAGCTTCGAGTTTCAGGACAGGTAACGGCACGCGCCGGAATGAAATTACGGTGTGATGACTGTTGCTGTTTGGAGTGTTGTATTGAGAGCGGTGAGAATGCCAGCTTGATAAAAACGGTACTTTATTACGGTGCGATTTCATTATTATGTAACCTTACCTCTAACATTTAACTGTTAGCTACGCTGTATAACTGAGTTGCGTCTAATCCACGTCATTGAGCAGCCTGCAAGCTGAAGATTGCGGCTGTTAAGTGCTGAACGGTGACTGATATCCCCGCATGTGACGTACAGTTCAGCGCTGCCGTGTGTTTCAGGTATGTTCACGGCTGTATCTCGGCCTGTGACAGTTTCGACGGCTGTAACACGGCGGTAATGCGCCGCGGCGGCTGGCTGCTGGCTCCAGCGCTGGCCCTAACGCTGGCTGCAAACACAGGTGTGGTTCAACACGTGCTACTGGCACTGACACTAGCTGCTGCACCTCCCAGTCCACCCGACAGGTAACGAACAAACTTGTGATCACAGAGGACCGCGGAGCCATGGGAAACTGGAGAATACCTACTCAGGAGCCTTATTATAGAGGGACTCAACAGAAAACAGCGGAGAAGCTCCGAGGGCCTGCAGCTAGTAAACCGTCTGATAGCTAAATGGAACCATCAATAAGAAAGATGCCTAAGGGCAAGACGATGACGATGACAACGATGACCTGAAGTCTGAAGATTATTTAATTTTTAAAGGGCGTCTGTAATAAGCAGAGGTTAATAGAAAATCATGAATTGAGGTCTACAAAACTGTAGATATGGCACGTAGTCGCACACACAAGTCGGAAGCGCAGACATCACAGAAATACCATACACAGAGGTATTTAAGATGAAGATCAACACTGGAACCATGCTTGACAATTATGCAAGCTAGAATACTATGTGTAGCAGTACGTCACAGTGCAACAAACTGACTATTGTCATTTGACAACGTGATTTTTTTCCAGCCGGCATGCTGTACCCGAAGCTAAATACCGTCCATATCTGTGTTCACCGTCAGTTCAACAAGCTGTCGCACTGTGTACCTAACAATGCATCACCGCCAGTCTTTAGATGACATGGAAAAGAGATGAAGACTGAAAATGTCCAAGCGATTGGAAAGAAAACGGCAACAGCCCACAGTTCTCGCGACTCTCAGTGTTCGTTAGACGTTAATCGCTGAGTTATATAAGTGCTTTGTTTGTGGATTAGATAGAGATAGTGCCTGATGGAAGTTACGGTCAAACTGTAGTGGGCAATGAGCACACGTGACCAATGACCACTCGTGGAAATACCACACTTTGTTCAAAGAATCCAGCAATGTTTCAATAGTTAAGCGTGAATAGGACGAACCAATAACAGTCTAGTAGGTTTTATGCAAAAGTTTTGTTATGAGACGCAACGAATTTCACAAATGTGCCGCATTATAATTACAATTGTGCTGGACGGACCCATCGTCGCTCGTACGTTGCGCTGCCCGTGCCTACCGTTTGTTTTGTATTTTTTTTCATAACCTGTCGACCGAAATAGTTGTGTTTAGAACATTCACCCATGGTAAGTAAATGAAACGACAACACATTATGTTTGGTGAAGTTAGTGCAATGAATTCGAAGTCAATACACTGGTGTTTGTATTCGTAACGTGAGTTTTTTATTTAATGCAATGTGTGTGCGGGATATCGTTGTGTATTTCGTCAGCTATACGAGATCCCCAGCCCACCCTGGCCGCCCGCTGGAGGCCGGTGATTCCGGGCTCGAGCCGCCAAACGAGGAGTGTGACGAGCCGCATCGGCGTGACGCAGTGTTTGGACCGCCGCGCCCGCTGTTTGGCCGTGTTTAGAGCCCGGGGCACATGCTGTGACTCTCATCCCATTCCGCGAAACATAGGACTATACACAGGCTGCCAGCTGGAAACGTAAAACGCTGTTGGGAAGCCTAAAGCCATCGCTACACTTGGCTGGCTGTGGTCACACAACCAGTCCTGTGCCGACTGGCGCAGATTCTAGGTACGTTTCGTGTTACGTGTAAATGCTCTGAGTCCCTATTCCAGTGATGTCCCCTGTCCAGTGATGTATGCATCTCGTTGGCGCTTTACTGCAGCTCGTTCGGAGTGTTACGCACAAGATGTGACTTGAAACTTGGAAGTTTACACGGCTATAATTCAAGTTACTGCTGATAAAATCTGTTTGTCGTCCAGTTTTCACAGTACCGGCCACAGCACATCTTCTCGTTCCGCGTGGGCCTCCGACGGGTCCCTCTGGTTCCGCGTGTGTCTCCGACGGGTCCCTCTCGTTCCGCGTTTGCCTCCGACGGGTCCCTCTGGTTCCGCGTGTGCCTCTGACTGGTGACTGGTCCTCCTCGTTCCGTATGTGTCTCTGAATGATTTATTCAGCCGCGGTGTGACCGGTGTATGTGTGTCTGTGACTGTATGTGACTGGTCGACGGTGCCGCTCCCTCCCCGCCGGGCGGGGAGGTGGGTGTCAGCTACAGAGGTCGCTCGTCAGAGGCGCCGCTGGGGGTCACCGTGTCAAAACGATGCCCCGACAGGCCATCGGCACGGTCGGCTCCGTTTAAACGATCTGTGTAGGACGCGATGCCTGTATAGGTCTGGTTTCTGTATGACGAAGGAAATAGTTAGTGCTACGAATCGCTTCTGAGATTGTTATGGTGTTAGACCGCAGGTGTACGAACTTGCGTCGCAGTCAGATATTACATCAGTTTACATTGCCCTTAAACTGATACCATTCAATTGGAAACAACAAAGTCCGTACAAAATATATTTCATATCAGTAACGGCATGCACACTTAAACATTGCACCCCAAGATACAAACACAATACTGATTGGTGGGTGTGGCTCAAAACGTTTTTATGTCCACCGCTCGCACGTAATACATTTGCGTCAATATCGTCAACTTCTTAACTCATTGTTTACTTTTAATGCGAAAGAAAAAATAGACAGTATGGACTTCAATCATCGGAACACTGCGTTTGTCTTGTATTTGGTCTTTCCAATGAAAGCATTTACATAACCGTCATAAGATATAGAGCTATCAATTTTGCGATTGCTTGGCTCATTAAAGATTCAGAGCATTAAAGCAACTCAGGAAGGCATCGATAGTATCACCAAAAACTCAAGTACGAAAAAAATCGTAGAGGAATCTCTCTGATACAGTTTGATTTGAGTCAATACGAATAAAGGCGTAATTTGACAGAGAGAACAAATATAGGTACCTTCTGAACTACTGTGCACTGTGTTATTTTTTTGGATGAGATTATGTCCATGGCACACTATTAAAAAAATTGTAATTCATGAGCAGTGGTTGTGCGGGCGTGAACCATGCTTGACTAGGTGCTTCTCATTACTAACACAGCAAACAGTTTTACATTTAATGCCTAATACTGTCTTACCATCAAGAGCAAGTACGAACTCATATTCGCTACCACTGTGTCCTCACACCACGGACGAAACTGCGGCTGGAAATGCACGTAAACAAGCGAACGGCGTATTTGTGCGCGATGTGCGTGTGTTCAGTGCCTTCAGTGCCGTATAGTGATTACACGTTAGCGGATGATAAGATAAATATGCGTCTAAAAAGAAACACACTTTGAAAGGGAAACACAGAAACCGATGCACCACCACCTTCCTTAGTAAGGTGACCTCAGCTTCACATTGCTCAAATACTACTCAGGCTTTAATGAGATCTGTTGCTAACATATGTAATTGACCGTAGTATTCCGCATACAGTAAAACAGTTGATAAAAAGCAGGAGAAAAGCTACCAGCACTCACATGGCTGGCATCATCATCTCTATTCGAGGCACAAATGGAACGTCCTCGATCATCAGAAGAACATCCTAGAACATTTATCTTTTTACGGCTTAAAAAAAACGAAATAATTAGATCACAACCAAGCATGACAAACTATCTCACCCCGACATAACACAGATGCAACATTATATCTATATGCCGGTCGGTCACATCATTTACGCCATTAGATGATATAGCAGTAACAGAACCCTGGTTTTGGGAGGCCACCCTGTGGATATGCACTCTGTCGACACCACGGTGAGTTCGTGGGTCCTCTGTCAGACGTCAATCCTGGTCTGGATGTCTTTGAGTGACCAGCTACCACGGCAGTTTCCACTGAACCGTGCAGCACCGTTCAACTGCAGTAGCAGTCACTGCCCGAGTGCGGGGTGGGCGCACCGGGCCTTCGCCAGCCTGTTACCGTGCAGAGACCAGCGAGTAACCCTTGCTAGGTCACTGAGTGACCCGTCGGTGGGTCAGCGGGTGACCCCTGGTAGGTCAGCGAGTCACCTATCGAACCACCGCTGCCACTAGGGCTGACCAGAGCAGGACCGCAGCGGTCAGCGCGCTGACTCCAGCCCCGTTACAGCCATCGATATCATCGCAGCTCTGAAGGCAGCCCTTCAGGTACCTGCGGCAAGGAGCACGGGTGAGGCAATGAGCTCCATGTCGAAAGTTTGGGACAAGGGCGGTCGACGGAAGAATAGATATGGCATTTGATCGCCAGGCTCCAACACAGCAGCTGCGGGAAGGCAGGTGTCATAGCGCCACGTTTTTAGACTGCCGCCCTTCAATTCACCGAATCCTCATGGAAAAACTGCACACGTCTGATCAATTTAGTGGAAAGTTAGCAATAATTCGGAACCGTGTCAGTTGCAGATAATTGTATTTAGGTTGTCTTAGTTAGAAGTGCAGAGGAATGCAGCCAGACATATTAGCCCAATAGTTAAGAATTTGACCTATGACAGCCTTAACTTTCTCCCAGTGACCACTGACCAGTCACGTGTCGAGTCTTCTATTGCTCTTGTCACGTTTTGTCGAATATTATCAGCTCTCAACCATCCCCCCTCTCTATCTCTCCCTTCCTCCATCTTTCCCTCCCTCTCTTCTCCTCTCTCTCTCTCTCTCTCTCTCTCTCTCTCTCTCTCTCTCTCTCTCTCTCTCCCTCTCTCTCTCTCTCTCTCTCTCTTTCACTCACTCACTCACTCACTCACTCACTCACTCACTCACTCACGCTCCCTCCCTCCCTCCCTCCCTCCCTCCCTCCCTCTCTCTCTCTCTCTCTCTCTCTCTCTCTCTCTCTATCTTTCTTTCTCTCTGTCTCCTGCCATATTCGTATGATCCTTTGTGTCCCAGTCTTTTGACGTTCCACGCCTTTCACGTCGGCTCCCTGTCCCTCCTCTGTGTTGTTCCCGCCACTCGCCGGTCCGAAGCGGTGGTATTCGGTAGCGCTCTCACCTGCCCTGGAACTCGAGTCCGCCGCAGTGCGACATTCGGATGATCTCCGTGTCGGTCGTGAGGGTGCCGCTGTCCAGGGCGCAGCCGCGAACCATCAGTCGTTTGCCCGTGTCGGCTGCACGGGATAAACAACCGTCAATTAATCAGTAATTCCATCACATCAGCACTTTATCAGTGATGAAACAGGATAAACACATCACACATCTTAACGTAATGGCAGCTCCCGGACACCAGCTAAACTCACAATGGTTATAGCTCATCAGTAGATAAAGCTACAGCCACGCATTGGAACGCAGGGGGAGCGTAGACTGTACCGCAATACAGTCGTGTCATGCGGAACAGTATATTCGTGCGTCTGTCCACACTATTCGCATTCGACGGACTTCTTTAGCCTTCACTAGAATACGATCGACTGATCGAGCAGGAGTATCCTTTGTCCTTTCCGTTATCTATGGAGGCGAGACCGTTCACACACGTAAAAAGACTCGCATCTGATTTAGCCCTCGCAGTTATAGGGGGAACGGACCACCTCCTCGGCTTTTTTGCGAATAACTCGCGCAAAAAGGAGCCGATTGCAACTAAACTTTCTGTACCCTTCAATTTTACACATACCGTCTAAATTCCATGACCTTGACCCAAATGACCTTTGACTTGTAATCTATTACTCGAGACCATGTTTGGCCGGAATCGCGATTCGGCGTATGTTGGCTCATATTATCCGCGCGTTTGCAGTCTTTTTATGGTTTTAACCCGCGCCCCAGTGGCGGTCTCAGCCAACTTCGCCCTAGTGGGGTGGGGGGGGGGGGGGGGCATATGTTACCACCCACCTCTAACTCAAAAACTAAGAGGGCTAGAAAGACGCGGTAAAAAGCAGTCAATAGCTCTCGATGCGTACGTTTGAGAGTATTTCTTTCATCTTAGAAATCATTTCATCTTAGAGCAATATTGGGGTCACTAGAGGTCATCAAAGGTCAAAATTTGCCAATTGTCATTACATTTTTTTTCAGAAAACATGCCATTATCTCAGGAACTATGATAGCTAGAAAAACGCATGGAAAAGCAATCGATAGCTTTTGAACTCTTCTTTTGATTACGATGGTCGCATGCGAGGCTCCCCATGGTGTGACGAAACTTTGGGAAAGGAAAACAGACGTCACGTCTTACGGAAAACTCCATTGAGCTTGATGCAAGCAGTGGCCGGGAAGAGGCCGTTCCTGTCCTTCCGTCCGCCCATGCAGGGTGACTCGTAGATCTCGCTGGTGAAGTTGTTGTGGAAGGGATCCTCGCACATGGGGTTGTCGTAGTCGTTCGATACGCACTTGAAGCAGTCGATGGCAGAGACATCTGGAACAGGGGGCCGCTAGTTCAGCGTCGGCCGCTCGGCGGCGCCCGCAGCGGCGCATCGATGGCTGGAAAATACCAAAGGTCGCCGATCCCCCGGCGGTCCCCCGGGACGCTGTTCAGCGGCCATCAACGCGCCTAACGCTAATTTAATCAGGTTACATGACTTATTGGCCGTCATTTTGAGGCCAGAGTCGGCCCTCAGGGACGTTGTTTGACAACTGACGACCGGTCAGGAGCGCGAAAGGTCCGGCTCGACGGACAAATTTAGTGTCGGGTCTATCGAATCCCGTCCGTTGATGATTGAGGGCGTCTTTCCGCCTCGTTTTGCAACAGTGGTAACCATTTTACCACGGCTGGGTGCACAGATATCCAGGAGGCTGCCAGAGAAAATGATGGGAGGTCCCGGGCCCGTACTATCATCGATTTGACGAAACCGAGACGTTCAAATAGTTTATCTGATGACGTAGCAAAAGTAATACGTAGGACTGCGTGAACAGTTCTTGGCATCTTTGCGCTAGCCCTTTGGTACATGTTTTATTGTTTGGCTCATTTACACGTACCTATCCAATTTCAAGATAAACATTTTCCTGGGTCAAGAATGGCTTGTTTGTTTGAGCTACCGTCTAAAAAGACTCATTAAGTTTTTCATAAGATCTTTTCCGAGTGCCAGAGCCAACAACCTTAGCGCACCTAGTCATCCCAGTGGTGCTAGAAATGTTCTTAGTCTTATAATTCTATTGAATCCAAAGGTCATTGTTACAATGAAGCAATGTCATGCATGGATACAGATGCGCCGCTGCATCCAGTTACAGCTGCATATCTTCCGTCGTTGCAATATGGGACAAGGCCCCAGACGGCCCTTCGGCTCGATGTCGTCAGGAATGCCAAATGTCGTCACTGCTATTCATCAGGTAGATGGATCAGCAGCCATTGACAGCGGCGATTGAACAGACGGCTGTGCCATCGACTACTGGGAGCGGCGCCACCTGTTGGCCGGCAGCCCGGGCTCCCGACTGAGAGCTCGACGTGCTGATGCTGCAACTGCAGCCCATCCGGAATGATGCAGCCTTTCTCTCCGGGACAGAGTCGCGGCACGACACGAATTGACAAAAACTGAGAGACGAGTCGACTCCGGGAGAGAGAGAGAGAGGGATGTTGAAGCGGATATAAACTGACGAGGCGAAATTCATCTGCTGGTGGCAGGCTGGCGACTGGAGATTTTACAGGGTGTCAGGTCAATAAACAGGGATGTAAAGCCGGCGAATACGAGGCAGAACGGTGCTGCGCTGCTCGCACGTAAAAGCAGAGTGCCTACTGTTCATATCAGGTCACCTTGGCAGAGACTGGCGCAGGTAAGCTAGTACGCATGCAGTGAACTTGTATGTTACCTCCGTTGCGACTACATTTAGTAAATTCGATCAAATATTGAGTGTAACATTGCAATACATGTGCCAATTTTTCGTCACTAATAAGCTTATGTGTAAGGTAATACGAAACAAGCCTAAAACAAGCTCTTACTCATCGGGAAAACGTCAGTTCATATAATTTTTTACATTATAATTGTTAAATTATTTTCTCGCACCAGGTGCCCGAGTCCCCTCGGTTAAATGAGTGGCCGGCCGTATTGAGAAAGTACGTCGCTATTTGAGGCGACGTTGAGGGATTGCTCCGGGCTGTGGTCGGACGGGTCGGCAGACCGGCCGTGCGGCCACACCGTGACGCAGGGTACCCGACAGCCCACTCAGGCCGACTGCTAATGAACACCACAGTGAGCAAACGGTTCAGTCCAACCGGCTAATGAACGCCACAGTGAGCAAATGGCTATATTTCCCACACAATATTGCTGCCTAGAGGTCTGCATTTCAGCACGACCATACCTATATACCTATTATGTAAACGTGTTGTCTTTTAAAAAATACGCTTTGATACATGTACATTGTTATATTTAAATTCGTTTATACTTAAAAAGCCCCACTTCTATTATACCTGTACAATGTGTACCTACACACCTACCTCTTACGCAAATGCGCGCAGCCTGTGTCCGAATCATAGGCGGCGGAACGGGGAGGGCACCGGGGCACCGTGCCCCCTTTGATTTAGGCATTTTAACATTAACTCTATGGGCGTTGCATGGAAAGAATGGGACCAAAAGTCGGCAGTGGCCCCCCCTTAATTGAAGGTGTTCCGCCGCTACTGGTCCGAATTACGTTATTATTGCGTTATGATTATTAAGTTGGACAATTGGAGGACATTGAAATTAACCTCGCTGATTTCCCAAAAGCTTCTGCTCCTAGCATTTCTGAAGGAAGATAGAATCAATCTGAACAAAGACTCAGAGCTGACGGTCACCATTACCCTCCTAGACACAAAAGAAAATAACTGTCCAATTGTGTTAGCTTATTGCTGCCCGTGCACCAATTATTTCTAAGTGGTATCAGCGAGCCTCAGATAAGGCTGTATACTGCCGTGGTGTGTTCCATGCCTGAGAGGGCACGACGGCTGTAGGTCAGCTCGCATCTGTGTGTAAACCGGCACAGAGCACAGAGCTCACCGATTGCCAGACTCCGTCAGCAAGATACCCCGGCTTCTGAGAGAGTACAATGTGGCTACAGCTCTGCTCAGAGTTCACCAACGCCAAGGGCCGGGTCAGGTACTCTGAGACAGCAATTTCGCCACTCTGTCGACGGCTTAAGTTCGGAAGTGGTCGGTGATTGCACTTGATCCGGCCGTCTCCGGACAGCTGTCAGCGGGCCTTTGTCGGCCGCTGGCCGCAGCCCGGCGGTCTGAGCTGACAGCCAGAACTGGCGCGGCTCTGAACTGCCGCCGACAGTGCAGCGGCCGGACAGCGCCGGAGCCACGTGAGCGGCGCCGGACCGGCCCGGCCGGCGACCGGCATTCAGCGCCAGGAGCCCGCCGTCACGTCGGTCCCGCATCCATTATTCATTAGGTGTTTTCGTCAGCCCGAGAAGCCGTCAATGCAGCCGGCGGAGGGCTACTCGGTCGTCAAACGACACTGTAAGAGCTTCGAATGTCCCGTTAGAATGTGAAATCAGAGCATTTCCTTCCATATCCCACATAAGGTCCGGATCGCTGGTGGACAAGACGAGACCAGTAGGCAAATTTACGATCACCGCCCCCAAAAAATCTTCATTTTTTAACATTTTACCAACCTCCATTGCATATTTAGTTTCCAAATTAAAGAATTATTCCATATCTGTAATGAGTCATGACCTTTCATCACACACGCTCCGAACGGTTGACAAGGCATGGTCGGTTTACAAAACTATTGTGTGTCCACCTGGAGTCGACGTTACACCCTCTATGACTAGTCGGAGGGGCGGGGGCGAGGTCGGCCGTTCCCGGCAAATATTTACACCGTCGCTAGCAAATAGACTGCGAGGAGGCCCGTTATTACACCGCCCCGAGCGCGGCCGGGCAAGAACCCATGGATACGCCGTACCGATGACCTGGCCGCGTCGATCCTGGCTAATAATAGGTGTCACAGCGCGCACCGCGCCCGTCGGCGGACGTTACTATCGCCGGGCGGCTCCGGGAGAAGTCGACCCACACCCCCGGCCGACCGACTGTCATCATACGTCATGAGGGCGGCCGAGTCACGGCAGCCAGACCTTTTTCTCGGATTAGCCGAGTGAATAAATGAGCTGAGTGTTGGACAGTGCACTGAGGGAGGACGGAGATGGAACAGGGCGGGGTGAGGGGGTGAGGAGCTGGGCCACGTATGGACGCATCGACCGCCGTGGGTGTCGTCAGTCGTCACCATCGCTCCGTGTGGCTGCGGGGCGCAGTGAATGCGGCACACGCGAATACAGGCCGGCGATGACTCACGGACCTGGCCGCGCCGCCACTGCGCCGTCACAACAGCGCGTCGGCCGCAGCGGCTGGCCGACGAATCGCTACCATCGCCACTATCAGCCGCGTGTTGTTTTTGTGGCCATCGCGGTGCCGCCGCCGCCGCCGGCGACTCGTTATCTGACCGGCCGTTACCGCCCACCATAGGTCAACACTGCCGGCCGGACGGCAAAACTTACCTGACATCGGTCAACACACGGTGGAGCAGGAAGAGCTACCAGGCAGCAAGACCATTCACTCAACGACCAGCAGCAGACAACGAAACACTGCCACATAACAACAAAGGATGCCTGTCTCGACGCAAAAATAAATATTGATTCAATCATCCAGCATAAAGTCTAGCCAACTACCACCTTCCCAGGCTGGGGGATCTGTGAGAATTATTCACCGTCTTCCACTCCTCACATCCTTTCCATGCATATTTCCTAGCCTTGATTCCTCACCAGCGCCACCTATGCCAAATTTGCCCATTTAGTCTCGCTTGGTAGCCGCTAGATGGCAGGAAGTGTGGCTCTAACCGCATCGGTCATGGAAGTGCGTGTCGACTTGACCGTGAAAACCGTTGTCACGTGACTGGCACGATGCCAAAATCAGCTGTTTGTTCAGCTGTTCAAATGAGCTGCGCGGCAGGGTGCGGCACTGAAAAAGGGGCAGATACATACTGGAATCACGGGCAGAGACAGTCTGGAAGCCTCGTGGTTGTTTAAACGCTGTGTGACACAAGAACCAGCAAACTCAAGAATAGTGACGATAATCAACCCGATCAAGAAGCCATACTAAAGGTTTACTTTGAGCGTAAAGCCACTGAGTTTTACAAGGATTTGGACACGAGGGCAAGAATTACTGAGTTCTGTACAAACATTCAAGAAGCGCATACCAAGGTAAGCGAGACTAATCAAATTGGCTATCACTGTGGCATAATAATTTCCATTCATCCAAAAATCCTTACAGATCGTCTTACCCGATAAACCTCAGTTAGTGTGCAGGTTATAAGCCATCCGAGCCTTATAACGCAGTCGGGGCGTGTGGTTCTGTTCCGGCCGGCGCACAGCCGCTAATGTCACGAACAATGGCCTCTCACAGGGCGGCCAGCGGCGCGGCAAACCCAGCCCAATAGCTAATGGATAGACAAATCTACGGCACCCCCCCCCCCCCCGAA